TTTGTAATTTGCAACTAGCCTCCGGGCACGAATTTACAATAAACTTTTCATTCAAAACTCAGTATATAGCCAGCTAGAGAGAGAGGGGGGGGGGAGAAAGTGGGATTACTTTTTTCCATTGTCTCGATAAAGGAGTAGAACCCAACAAGTTAGAATTATTGTTTGGTAGTTGGAGTAGTCACATACTATAAATCGTTATCCATTGTCCATTCTTTACGTCCATGTTACATGTACTTGCAATTAGCCTACGGACAGGAACTTTCAATAAACTTATCTATATAAATGATCTCTTACCAGAATACGCCTTGCCCTGGGCCACACAGTGTTTGGCACAGTCCTGGTTGGTCATGTGCAGAGACGACTCATGACCACTGGCGGTGAGAGCTCCATCACTTGTTGTGTAGCAGCCTTTGTAGCTCTGTGTGGAGGTCGTTCCTGTCAAAAAGGACAGTGGATCGGGTAAGTTATGATCGTACTACATGTACATGTACATGCTGTCCGGCAAGTATCTTCTGGATATTGGGACTTTTATAGCTTTTATATCATAATTTATATCATAATTCATGATGATTGTAATGGTAAAACATTACAATCATGATGAATTATTACAATCATTATGAATTATTACAATCATCATGAATCATTATTAATATACATATAATTATCATTAACACTTAAAAATATTATTAAAATTATTATCAATAATTTAATTATATAATTATTTTAATTATTATTAAAAAACATTAAAAAGGAAAAGATTTTACTTGTTTCAAAAGTTTTCTTTACATAAAAGCTTTAGAATGCATAATGCTGATGTGCAATTTATTTAACATCATATATTGGTCACGCCTTACAGATATTAGTGTCTAAGCACATATAGAGTTGTTTTGAATCGTTTTCAATCACTTACTCAAGTTCTCTGAAGTTGTCTTCGCTGCCAGCTCACGCTTTCCTGTAAGGAGGGATGGATCGGAAAGTATGCCTTCAGTATAAATAAATATACATGCTAAGAAATAGACACATACAGTTATCATAACTTGCCAATCTGCGGAACTGAAACATAGAATGGAATCATTGCAATGGATTTCAAATTTTAAATTCACAATTTGTAAAGCGAGCATGCTCAAATGTAGTAATGGCATTTTTTTTTCTTTGTAACGCCACCACAAATTTACACAACCAAAATGGCGGACGTTCGATATGACCGTAATCATGATCGTTACATCTACTATACCGTACAAAAAAATACATGCTACGAAATAGAGACAGTTATACACTTCCAATCTTCAGAACTAGAATGTAGAATACAGTGGAAGGGAGACAGAGAGCGAGGGAGAATGGAGTATTTACACCACTTTAGTTACAGGAAAATCATTCGTACGCGTCGAACCAACATGGCGGACGTTCAATATGACGTCACGTCATAGTCACATGATCATACCTTGCCCTGTGCTCCACACGGTGACCGTCTCGTCGGTTCCTCCGCACTTTTCCGTCAGTTTTCCCGTGCAGCTGACGTCACACTGTGAGTCTGAGACTGGGCTGAGGTTCTGCATGTCGGCTGCCGTCAAACAGACACAGTGCTTCCCTTCGCCTGTCGCTGTTATGTTGGAGGGATAACATA